CAGCTGGGCCACATACCTATAAATAAAAGAAGGGTCAGGCCTGGCCGAGGCACGGCGCCTGCTTTGATGTGTGGTAATGAACTTCGCTTTTAATTCGGGGTTGTAACTTCCATCCCGACGCAAAACTGGGAGCTGCGGAAAAGCTGCATGCATAATAAGGGGTGAAAGCAAGGATGCGGCGCGAGATGTGTCTGATGTTGGATGAGAGGGAAGATAGCCTTTAATCATTTTGTTTTCAAAGAAGCTTTAGAGAGCGCTTTGAAGACGAGGCTTTTTTGAGAGCCGCATCTGGAAAACAGGAGGCAGTGGTACACGGCGCCCACCTTCTGCCCACGTCCACCCGCCCGCCCCCTCGGTTAACCTGTGCGCGGGATGTGCATCACCCACGCACGCATCCTGGCTTTCGGCACACGGCCCTCTGGGCTAGCACCCGGCAAACTTCGGCAAAGCTGAGCTGGTCTCCTGCTGCCCGGAGATCTGAGACCCTGATGGCTACAGCAGCGAGGAAAAACTGACTGCTTTTCATTTGAGGCCCTCGAGGGTCCTCGGCATGCAGAGGCAGTCAGGGAAGGGACCAGGGGTTAGAATAGGATGTCCGTCCTCCTCCCTTTAATAATAGTAGTATTTTTTTGTAATGATAACATTCTGCAAATGGTGTCTTACTACCATTGGATGAAAGGGAATGATAACAAACACCCGATCAGACTTCATTTTAAGGAAAAGCATCATGATGGAGAGGCATGGAAACCGTGCCCGTCCTGGAGTGCAGCATTTTGGGTGGGAGAAGGCACGAGTGGTGCGTCACCCACCTGCTGCAGTCAGGCTGTGTGGTACCTACGCAGGTGGCTTCTTTACGGGCTGGGATCCGGCACAGAGGGCTTGTTGGTCTACCTCTGACGGCACGGAGGGATTGAACATCATCTGAACATCCCAGGCTCTGGTCGCCAGCGCTCAGTGCGTGCCGATAGTGCCCCTGGCTTTATTTCAAGGACTGAGGTCAGGGAGTTGTTAAGTGCATCATGTACAAAATAAGCAAACGGCTTCTTGCTCCAAAAGTGCCACCGGCTGAGAGGAAACACCTTGGGGAAGGTGTGCCAGCAGCCCCATTTTTACCTGTTTTTACTAAGTGGTTTGACCTCAGTACAACAGCCAGGCTGGCAAGTGACTGCAGGCTGCTGGGATGTCGGCGGCATGCGTTGCCCCTAAGCCATCCTGCTGAGCGTGGTGTTACTGGTCTGGTCAGTGGTTTTGTACATCTAGGTCTTCTCTCGTGTGGTCTGTAAAGTAAGCATGTCCTGGTATTGGAGGTTATTTACAGAGCACCATGACAAAAAAAAAAAGCCTATGAAACACCCAAAATGAATGAATTACTGCCTTCCCCCGGATAAGGAACGAGCTGACACCCATTGGCATTGGAGGGGCCTTGTTCTGGCTGGTGTGAGAGGGCACTGAGAAGTGGACAAACAGCAACACACTGGCACCCCTCCATGCCATTCCGGGCTGAGGAGTTGGGCTGCCTCTGCCTGTGGCACTGTCCCCACACACGGCTTCATCCAGCCACGTCCTTACGTACTCAGTCCTCCTCCGTGTTGTGATGTTTAACGGCACAAAGGTTTTCGCATCTCGCATTCCGGCCGCCATATGGCTCTAAAAAATGCAATTTCCAGTCCCTTCAGAAAAGGAAAAAGCAACCCCAAATCCACGCCACCAAATTCCCTGCTGTGTTTGGTACAGGTCCTGCAAAGGTCTTCTGTAGAAATCTCCGCAACCCCGAAACGCTGTTATTTTCAGGCTGTGTGCCCACACCAGCAGGTCGAAGGTTAAGTTTGAAAGGCCCAAAGAGGTCTGCTCTTCGCTGGGACCTGTCCTCTGTGCATTAAAACCGAAATCACTTTCCCCTTTCCTGCCCTCTGCTCTGCAGCAAGTACTTAAAAACTGGCCGTGTTCTCGGAGGTGGGAAGGCTCTGTGACAGGCACTGCAGCTGCAAATGCAGCTAATAACACCTCGCCGACGCAGGATGCTTACGGATTAAATGTGGCCATGCACGGCAAAAAAGCAAGGGAAATAACTTCAGAAAGTTTCGAGATAGTCTGTCGGACTCCTGTTTTCACTTCTAAGTGATGCTACGCTATTTTAGGCCAGGCCAAGCCTTGCCTTTTTTTTTTTTTCTTTTTAATCAGGTTTATTGCTACAGCTACACGGCTCTGTGTATGTGTTAACATTTTGATTTTTTTTTTTTTGATTGAATGTAAGTGACTGAAATAAACAATCCAGATCTGATAGCCCCAGTGGGGGGACTGACATTTGGATTCGGCTCAAAATCTGTGCTTTTGACGCTTGTTAGACTCCAACACCCCACTCAGAAAGCACAAAGCACCGGAGTGGGGGGAAGGCTGTAGGGCAGAGCTGCGTGTGCCACCTGCGACCTAATCCTCAACCTCACGCGGAGGTACTCCTCCGAGGCGCTCGCTGCCATTGCTGCCTTGGGTTTAGTTGATGGAGGGATCTGAAGAGGGGTGTTACAATGCCACTTAGGTACCAGTTTAATTAGCAGAGCTTGCAAAGTCTCCCTAGAAGGGATCTTGTGCCGCCAAACCTGGACAGCCCTGCGCTGCTGTGCCCGGGTTCCCCTTCCATGTCATACCAGCCCTGCTGAGCCTGTCCGTGGGAGACAAAACCAGTAAGGACTGGGACAACGAGGAGTATTTTACAGCGGGTTTTGCACGGAAGCATCCCTCTGGTCCAGCCGGTCGGGATCACGCCTGCTTGCTGCCTCTCTGCCCTCACTCCTACCCCGCACCATCACTCTTCTTCGCATTTAAAAGGAAGCCTGGATGACCGGAGAGCTGGGGGTGAGGGACGAAGAGCAGGGCTGTACAGCCCCTCCTTTCCCTCCGCTTCGCCCCAGCCCACGGCTCTGGGAAGCAGATGGTCCCCGCAGGGCCGGCAGCCCAGCGCCGGAGAGCTGCCACGCGCCGCCGCCGGCCCCACTGCCTGCGGAAGCACCACCGCACTCCCACTCCCATCAATCAGCACAGACCAGGTGCCTGGAAGCATCTCTTGCCAATCACCTTTTATTACCTTTAAAAAGCCAAGAAACCCAGAACAAGACAAAAAACTGAGACCGTGTGAACATCATGCAATGGATTCACTTTAAAGCAGGCTGCGGGGAGGGGACAACCAAAAGCCGTGTTAGAGTAGAAATATCGCTCCACCCGTGTCTGAAGGCCAAATCAGGTGGGCTGTCACTGCCGGGGTTGGTGGTGACTGTTGTGAGTGATCGGACCGATGCTGAAGCAGGAAATGGAAACACACTCATGAGCCATCATCCCGAGTGAGCCCAGATCTGATTCTGGCTCAAATGCAATTTCTTACATGGTGATGACAGTGAGAAATACTCCTAACTCTCGTCATGGGTACTTTCTGCCTAGGCAAAGTCTCTTTGGAAAGGAGCAGCACTGTTACGAGGGTTTTTTAGTTCAATTATGTTATTTACTGTGACTAGTACTCTGGCAGTCAATTAGTGGAGTGGATGTTATCCAGCAGGAGTGAAGTTACCGCACTCTGCCCTTCAGTCTCACTTTGTCGTCTTCAAAATTCATAGCACAAACTAGAGTAATATTAGCTTCTCGAAAGAATGTGTTTTGGAGAGTTTCAGCTACCATGGAAATAACTTTGCATCTTGTCCATCATGTGGATGTGACAAAACACATGCCCTTATTTTCCTGAGGTATAGCCAACATTTGAGTTCATTACATTTAATGGAGTAGGGTCACCCATAAAGTTATTCATAAGGTATTTTCTGAGTGGTTTTCACCTTCTCTTTGAAAAAATAAATTATATCAGCATGTTCACGAGGTACAAATGGTGCTGGCATTTCAGCTGTTATTATGTTATTAACTTTTTTAACCTAATAATTTTCAATCAACAGTAAGAAGCAATTTTCACTCACTCCAGTGACCAGAGTTGGAGATGCTGCAAAGCGTTCTTGTAGGGTTCACCTTGACAGACACCTAATTCCCTCCCAAATTGAAACATTACCCCCGACACTCCCACTGTGGTTACCGAGAATTTCCATTTCCCCTTCGGTTAGGATTTAATTTAGAAGGCAAAGACTTCCTAAGCTATGGGAGAGTAAAGATAGATGGTATGGGAGAAGGCGGCTGATGAAATGTAGTTGACTCCGGATCTGAAATATTTTATCCCTCCTCAATGTAGGTTAAATTATTCTTCACCTTTCCCACATCCATAATTGTCGCTGATCTTGGACCAACTCAAAACCCTACTACTGAGTTCAGTAGACTCAAAATTGCCACTAGAACTGGAAAAAGAAGAAAAAAAAGAAGAGATTTGTTAGTGTCCACATACAATATCCCAAGACTATACACAGCTATGAGATACAGCAAATTTAAGAAAGGCAATTTTTTTCTCATCACTGAGTATTTATTATATATAACAAATACATGAAAAAGAAAAAACTATATTGTGTGATATAAATAGTTTATTTACATTACAGAAAAACATCAAGACAATGTATACTATTTCAAATATATCCATACATAATCAAATATAGCTGTAGTACATGTTCTCATTGGTGTAGATTACCACAAATGCAAGGCAACATGTGTAGATCTTGTCTTAATCTTTTGTCTATAATACTGTATTTTGTAGTCCAAGCTCTCTGCAGTTAGTTTTGCCATTGTGGAAACATGCGCTCTTTAAATTAACCTTGTCGATGCTCTTGTTGTGTTGTCTGAACTGTAGTGCCCTGTGTTTTGCTTCTGTCTGTGGATTCTGTTGCTCCTGGGACATTTCCTGGAAAAGAGAGTTGTGAGAATACACGGCTCTTAACATCGTGTCTGCTCAAAGGTCGCCTTCAGGGGACGTGAGGGCGAGAGAAGGATACGCTGGTCCTCAGCGCATCTCCTCTTCAGTGAAATGAAAAGGGCTGGCTAATGGCAACGGTACCACAAAAAACCCCACAGCAAACCACAAAACACATTGTAAACAAAAGTATGGCAAGGGAAATGTTAAGATTCCTGCTCCTTACTGGCCAGCACTGGCGACTCTGCTGTGTTGCAACAGATCCCACCACCGCACCGAATCTCTCGGTTGCCATTTGGCTCATCTTTAAATAACAGAATTATTTTCAGCGAGGCGCAGGTGGAAGATTTAGGACGGTCTCACACTCACCTGCTTGGCATGTCCCAGGTCTGTGAAGTATTTACAAAGCGGATGCAGGGGCTGCCTTTCTGAGGAGCTAAGCGTCCTCAATCCCTATTAGTCTCCATGGAAATGCTCCATGCTCAGGTTGTTAGTGAGCAGCTACTTTACTTACGGGTGCCTGCACCGCACTACGCTCTTCACACGGCTGCTTGGCTTAGCACGGAAAGCAATCGCACCGCCAAGACAAAATCTGATTTTCCTTCGGATGGCTGCAAAAGCAAATCTCTTCTGCCTCAGGACCTCACAGCGCTCCTCAGCAAGGAAGGGCACGTTTCAACCATTTACCTGCAGCAGCATCAGCTATCGCGGCTGCTACGAAGTGTCTCCCCCCACGGGAAAGATAATAGCGTGTTTCTGGTTTCCTCCCATGGAAAGGCACCCTTAGACAGAAAGCATGGAGAAGTTTAGCCCCAGGGGGTTAAGGTAGAAACTGTCGGGCAAGCAGAACAGCAGCAGGGCGACCAACACCCTCTAAAAATGCTCGTACTATTTGCATTTGTGGTACCCAGTAGGAAAATGGTGAGCTACAGAAAACCAACCAGCAATAAGAACGGTCCTTTACCCAGGGTGACCTAGTTAACTTTTCTGGACAGGAGAAGGAAGAAACTATTCCTAATTTGGCCGCGTGTTTATCCTCTTTCTTCAGCTGAAGCTCGGTATGAGTTTTTAGCCTGTGTGTGCTTCATTCTGCCCTCCGCGTGGGCAGCTGCACAAGAAAGACTGAAACACCCGCTTGGAGTGGCATGACAGAACGCCCCACAACACTCCACACCATACTGACACGGAAAAAAAAAATAATCCCTTTGTATTGGGCTAACTTGTTTTTCTGTTATAGGGAGGCTTTCAGCGGCACCTTGTGAAACCCTGTGGGTTATGCACTGGGGAGAGCCCACGCTCTCAGGGCAGTGAGAGCTCATAGCATTTGCCTTCAGCTCTGTGTCAAATAACTAACAGCAAAATGGAGTGAAATAAATTTTTACCGACCCCTTAAAATCAAAAAGGCCATTTTTTTGCCCCTGTTGAATGGGAGTGATGCTACAGTTTAGTGATGCCAAGTGAAAGGCTAAACAGGAGCATAAGGACTTATGAAGCATTTCAAAATGCTGAAATACAATTACGTAAGTGTCTAACAAAATATGGGTCAGATTGTCCTGACTTGCCTCACTTTTAAGCCAACGGGACCACCCCCTCATGAGAAACTGTATGGCTGTGCGCTATATTTTGCCTCATTCCTTTCTTGGAAGCAGTAAAGTAGGCTGCTATCATTACTCCAGGAAAAATAAGCCTGCGCCTCCAGCGCTCTCGGAGGTCACGGCAGAGCTTTCATTATGAAACTAATGCAGCCTTTAGCTGGTTTGCGATTTCACGACAAACTCATTATTCACTGCGTGTTCCTCAAAAGGCGATCAAACTTTCTGAGTGAGTCAGGGAGCCGTTGTTAGCAAACACAGGGCTGATTCACTGAGCCGCGTGTCATGTGCGCGCTGACAGCTACCCGGCCCCGACTGTCCCCAGGCGGCCTCTCCTGCCCATTCAGCCGGAGACTGCGCAGCAGCAGGACCTCGCGGCGCTCCACGGGAGACAGCACTGACACCACCTCGATGCACTGAGAGGCAGCACTAGCTAAATCCTGCCGCA